TTCTTTCTCCAAAAGGAGAACGCGTTCTAGTAAAAAGAGGCGATAAAGCCGTATATAATTTTACACAAAATGACGACAAAAAATGTTTAACAGTTCTTTTCATGACAATTGACATTGCTAATGGTCAATTGCCTCCTCCTATGATTATGTTTCCCTATCAACGAATTCCGTATAATATTTTTCAAAGTATACCAGATAGTTGGGGCATTTAAAAATCTGATAAAGGCTGGATGACAGCGGAAACATTTTTTGAATATATAAGCAATATATTTCATCCATAGCTTTTACAAAATGAGATTCCTCGTTCTGTTATTTTGTATGTCGACGGTCATTGTTCCCATTTAACAATGTCATTATCGCAATTTTGTATTCAAAATGGTATCGAATTAATAGCAATACCCAAATGCTACTTATCTAATGCAACCTTTAGACGTAGCATTTTTTTGACCATTAAAAATGGCTTGGAAGAAAATGGTGCAAGAATGGCGTATAGAATAATCTGGAAAACGCTTAAGAAAAGAAGACTTTGGGCCACTACTGGACAAAAGCATACAAACTTTGAATGTTCCAGAAATAATGATTAATGGATTTCGAGCATGTGGACTTTTCCCATTTTCTGTGGATGCTTTGCAGTATAACAGCTAGTTAATGAAACAAAATATAAATACCACAATAAAGAAAATCTTTATCCTAAATGATAAAAAGAGAAATTGAAAGTAAAGCTGCAAATGATTAAAATAATGATAGATAGATATCATAAGTATATATAATATAAGTATATATAATATGTATTGCTTTTTCTTTTTTGTATTCAATAAAAATATTTAATGTCAAAACCGGTAATAAGTCAAAATTTTATGTCCATTTATGTTCATTATGTATCAATAAAAAGACGTACCTATTTCTACGACTGTCAGTAATAGGGACGTTCCTATTTCGACGATGTGTCAGTAATAGGGATGTTTGTATGTCTATCATCTATCAGTGATATAGACCAGCATGTGTCACAAATTGGGACAATTTCAAATTCATGTGTCACTAAATGGTACAGAAACAATGTTTACAAAGATATAATAAATAAATTAAGAATTTTTAAAAAGTAAAAAATTTAATTTTATCAGAATCTTAAATGTTCAAATTTTTTTCAATAAAATTAATTTTTTATACTTATTGTGACATATGTATCGATAATTTATTAGTTTATTTTCCCGACGAGATAACTTTTGGGACATTTACCTTATAACCATCGTAAAATTTTGACTTTTCCTTGCAAATTAAAAAAAAAGAGGTTTGTACGATCTTTTTTTCGCGGAGTTACGGCGTATCAAAGTTACCTATGCATTTTTGTTCAGTTACCGCCAGCATTAGCATTACTCGATGCACACCACGGGGAGGTTGCTGGTCGGACCATACGCATCGCGCGCGCGCGCGCGCACGCGTGTGTGTGTGTGTGTTTGGAAAGGAGAAATGTGAGTACGTTTGCACTTAAAACCACGCTTATTCCCGCCTTGTGGCAGGATGATTTCTAGTAGTGGTTCCGTGGTTTTAATTGCGAACGTATCCACATTCCTCTTGTCCAAACCATACACACACACCGCACACATACACGCGCGCGCGCGCG